ATGCTATGAAAATTGTTCCAGTTTCAGTAGTGATGCCATGTTTTAACATAAATTTATTCTGAAATCATATGGCATATAAACTTTATAAAAATCATACTCACTAGGAAAATAAATGCAATACCCAAAAGCAACTGGTAATTTCTTTAGGTGTTCAAATACAATGTGTGGCTAAAGCAATACCAGATAATCCAAGAAACAAATCTTTCTAGAAAAAGATAGAAACTAAAATAGAAAAATAAAGACCATGGTATAGAATCTTTTCTTTATGAATGCTTCAACAGTCAGGAATAGGGGTTTTGTTGGTAAAACAGGCACATTTATCAAACAGATGTAAAAATGAAAATTATAGCAAGCTTTAACACTTTTAATTATAAAGAACAAAAACGATTTTTTTTTGATGAAGTTCTTCTCAGGTAGTGACAATAATGTACAGTAAGACTTTTTTTTTTTTTAGTACACCTTTTACTAAATCCAACTTACCAGCCAACATGATTTATTTCTTAAAGAAAAATCAATCTATCCCTTAAATGTCAAACACTAGAATAAGTGGAAATTTTATTCTATTTGTAAGTAACTACTTTAGTAGATCAGTGGTTAATTCAAATGAAGTGACATTTCATATCTAAAAACTACTGAAATAAAAACTAAGTGAAAACGCACCCTCCTGCCTTTTTAAAATTTAAAATATATTCCTTTAGTAAAGTTGGAATGATTACAGTAATGGTAAATTTTTTTGGTACAAAGATCATTTGGAGCCACTGATATACAGCCGTATTAATTCATAAGATAAAGTGAACATTATCTTATGAACATATTAGATAATACACTGCTTAAATTACAAATACAAATACGTATTTTAATAATTAAGAGTGCATAAAAATTAGAAATTCTGCATTAACAATTTACCAATGATTTTCTAAAAGAAATTCAATAAAGCTACCCTAGTGTTTATTTCTCTCCAATCCCAGACAGAAAAGGTAGCTAACTCTACTATTGTTTCTAAGTATAAAGTAATCGATTCAAAACAATTTTCTGTGAAAACTTAATTTTAACTCTAACCAAAATGACACAACTATAATGGTTTCATGAGGTTTTAAATTTGGGGAATAAATCAATCTCTCTCTCTCTTTCTCTCTCCCCCTCATGAAAAAAAAAGTCTTATTTCTTGATAATTAAGGCTGAGTAGTACAACTTCAGATTATATCTTAAATAAATGAAAATAGTACTCTGTGGACTGATGTAGTAGATCACTTACGTAGCTGTATGCAGTAGTACAGTACAAAATCAAAGAAATTGTTATTCTGAACCATTTTCTCAAACACTGTATTGTTCTCAGAGGACTATAAGCAAGGACAATAAACTATATAAAGTTCGGAGATACAAACTATAGAAAATCACCATAGCCATAAACACTTTCTCAGCTCTCTGCTTAGCACATACTGATGTCTCAAAAAAGGGACACCCTTACATGGGCACAGAGAGTCAAAAGAAAAACAATTAGAAAAAATATTATAATTTTTTTAAAAAGTTAAAGAAAAAAAAGGGACACCCTCATTATATATAGTACCTAAACTAATGTAAACCTCAGTTTCTTCATTTGGGATGAGAAAACTTATACTGGTACAGCCTAGGATTACAGTCAGGAACATATAAGAACACAGGTAATGGCACCTGTTATAAGACAAGAAACAAAATGTTCCACCATTATTATTACTCAGACACAGTATTAGTTCAGTGTGAGGTTTTTAAAAAGTGGGTGCACGGTGGCTCAGGCTTGTAATCCTAGCACTGAGAGGCTGAGGCAGGAGGACTGCTTGAGGCCAGATCGGGAACAGACTGAGCAACACAGTGACACCCCATCTTTTTTTTTTTTTTTTTTTGAGACAGAGTCTTGCTCTGTTGCCCAGACTAGAGTGCCGTGGCGTCAGCCTGGTTCACAGCAACCTCAGACTCCTGGGCTCAAGCAATCCTTCTGCCTCAGCCTCCCGAGTAGCTGGGACTACAGGCATGCGCCACCATGCCCAGCTAATTTTTATATATGTATATATACTTATATGTCCAGATCATTTCTTTCTATTTTTTAGTAGAGACGGGGTCTCGCTCTTGCTCAGGCTGGTCTCGAACTCCTGACCTTGAGCGATCCACCTGCCTCGGCCTCCCAGAGTGCTAGGATTACAGGCGTGAGCCACCGTTTCCGGCCAGACACCCCATCTCTTAAAGAAAAAAAAAAAATTAGCCAGGTGTGGTGGTGTGCAATTGTAGTCCCAGCTACGGGGGAGCCTGAAGCAGGAGGATAACTTGAACCCAGGAGTTTGAGGTTGCAGTGAGCTATGAGGACACAACTGCACTCTCTAGTCCAAGCAACAGAGAGAGACAGTGTCTCAAAAAAAAAAAATAAAATAAAATAAAATAAAATGCATACACCTGGACTTTTAAACAAAATCTCCTGATTTTTAAATTCATTCATTCATTGTTAGTAACTAAAAAAAGAGATTATTAAATAAAATGTATCAAATTAACCCTATACTTAAGCTGGATACCATTAATTAGCATCCATTGCTTTAGATAAACAAAACTATAGGACAATGAGAGTATGAATACCATAGATTCCCTCAGTTTACATTAAGTTCACAAACGGGAATCTAAAAGTCTATTCCCAATCCCTTCCTACCATCCTATCATGGCCGGCTTCTTTAAGGGTTAAAAAGGCCTGATTTTACATATTCAGGTTCTAAGGATAGATTGGGGGGAAATATTTTAATGCCCTACACTTAGAAATCATTTAGTATAGAAACATCTTTAGGCTGTTGTTAAAATAAACCCTTTAATAGTAAAAGAAAAAAAAACCCACCTTTTTTTCTATATATTTCCCATTACCAGAGTTTCTTATGGGTTAACTGTTATTGATATGATGTCCTTTATATTATAAATAGCATATGCTTATAATAAAGACAATACAGACAATCCTTAATTATGTATATACATTTTTAGGAAATGAAAATCTGAGATCTAATCCAAATCTGCCTTAACTGAGCAAAATACTTCATCTTAAATTTTTCATCTCAAGAATCAAAACTGCTGGGTGTGGTGGCTCACACCTGTAATCCTAGCACTCTGGGAGGCTGAGGCATGAGGATTGCCTGAGGTCAGGAGTTTGAGACCAGACTGAGCAAGAGCAAGACCCCATCTCCACGAAAAATAGAAAAATTAGCTGGGTGTGGTGGTGCCCTGTCTGTAGTCCCAGCTACTTCAGAGGCTGAGGCAGGAGAATTGCTTCAGCCCAGAGTTTGAGATTGTAGTGAACTACGATGATTGCAGTGAGTGCCACTGCACTCTAGCCCCGGTGAGAAAGCGAGGCCCTGTCTCAAAAAAAAAAAAAAAAAAAAAAAAAAGAATCAAAACTGTACTGTTCGTTCTAACTATAACATAGTTCAGATTTAAGGATCAAATAAGATACTGGATATAAAAAGTATTTTGAAAAAGTACAGAAAATTAAGCAAATTTAAGGTGTTAATTTCTGTAGTTCAGCAAGGATAGGGGATTGAGCATCAGGTTTCATATTTTTTTGAGGAGTTATGAATTCTTTGCTTAGTTGGCTATAAAGTTATACAATGAAACTTCTTTCCTTAATCTATACCATGAAATGGTCACCCTTTGAGGACTAAATTTAAAGACTTCCGATGTTCTAAAACATACCTATCTAATAATGAATAGCATTTAATACCAACATATATGATAAATTTCTAGGATAATACCATTTTTATATCTATTACTTGTTTCAGCGTGTTTATCAGTAGGTATTTAACAACTAGGTATATTACAATTTTGCAATGTAAATTCTCCTATCACCCAGATGAGAGATACTGTTTTATTCAAATGATTGAAAAATGTAAACCTTAACTAAATATAAGGAGATAAATTGAACTCACATTTTATTCTTCTACAGTTACAGAAAAACTACGTGATATATATTTTTCCTTTAAAGATTAAATGGCGTGAAAATTGGTCAGTCCTACCTTCAGTTTGAATTCAAGCTGCGGCATGACAGATAGTAATAAATGAGGATCTATAGCAAAAAGTTCCTGAATCAGATCAAATACATGTTCTGACAAATCACTTACTGACGATCTTCCCAGCACCAGTACTTGATTGAAAAACTATAAGAGATATTAAAAACAAAAATAAAATATCCATTTCACTTAAACACTTGTTTTCTATGAACGTGGTTTTGAAAAACTATATAATTAGGCATTACATATACAACTGAAGGGTGTGACAAACAATAGGTGTTTGAATTATTAATATATAACAGTCATCTAAACAGAAGAAATAAACCTTCAAATAATAACAAATCATGAATGTTTAAAAAGTAAAATAAAAAGAATTGAGTTGTTGGCTATATTTTGAATACGGGTTCCATTTCTAGAATCTTACTTTTCATTACAACAAAACAATTTAGACAGTTTGTATAGTTCATCATAGGGAATTTTACAGAGAAATCTCCTTGTCGCAGAGAAAAAATTTTAAGCCTCGATCTTTGATTCTTCTTCAAATTAATCTAATTTTCCCATGAGTTTAGTATGAGGTTTTATGTTTATTTCGGTTTTTATTATAATACCCAGAAAAAGTCAAATACATTTTGACTGAAATGACAAAAAGAAGAAAAAAACTGATGATGCAAAAAGCTAACTAATAATTTAAAAGAGGGGCTAAGGAGAAACAAAGAGTATATAATACTCTTAAAGAGTATTAAGAACACAAGAGTATAAAGAACACAAATTATTGTAACAGATAACTATCACCATGCCCTACCTCCCATACACACTTAGAAAGAAATACTAAATTTAGGCCAGGCGCAGTGTCTCTGCACCTCTCACCACTCACAAAAATTAATCCACCATGGATAACAGACTCGAAACTAAGGCATGAAACTGTAAGAATTCTAGAAGAAAATGTTTGAAAAACTCTTATAGACCATCGGCCTAGGCAAAGAATTTACGAAGATCCCAAAAACAATCACAGCAACAACAAAAATAAATACATGGGACCTGACCAAATTAAAAAGCTTCTGCACAGCCAAGGAAACAATCAATAGAGCAAATAGACACCAACAGAATAGGAGAAAATATTTGTATGCTGTATATCTGATTAAGGGCTGATAGCCAGAATCTACAAAAAACTCAGGCAAGTCAGCAAGAAAAAAACCCAAACCTGCCCATGAAAAAGTGGGCAAGAGACATGAAAAGAAACTTTTCAAAAGAAGATAGACTAATGGCCAAGAAACATGAAAAAATTCTCAACATCTCTAATCATCAGGGAAAGGCAAATCAAAACCACAACGAGCTATCACCTAACTCCAGTGAGAATCGCTTCTACCAAAAAATCCCAAAGCAACAAATGCTGGTGTTGATGTGGAGAGATAAGAACGCTTTTACACTGTTGGTGGGACTGCAAAGTGCTACAAACTCTATGGAAAGCAGTGAGGAGATATATCAAAGAACTAAAAGTAGACCTACCATTTGATCCAGCAATTCCACTACTGTGTATTTACCCAAAGGAAAAAAGGACATTTTATTTGAAAGACACCTGTACCTAAATGTTTATAGCAGCACAATTCACAACTGCAAAGATGTGGAAGCAACCCAAGTGCCTATCAATACATGAGTGGATTAGTAAGATTTGGTATATGTATACCATGGAGTACTACTCAGTCATAAAAAAAAATGGTGAACTAATACCTCCTGTATTAACCAGGATAGAATTGGAGACCATTCTTCTAAGAGAAGTATCACAAGAATGGAAAAACAAACACCACATGTACTATTAGACTAGAACTAATGGAATAACACTCAACGTGCACATATGGAAATAAAACTCATTGGAAATCAAACAAGTGGGAGGGGAGAGGAGGGGGATGGGCAAATTCACTCCTAATGAGTACAATGCACATTATCTGGGTGATGGGTACACTTATAACTTTGACTCAAACTGTACAAAAGCAATTTATGTAACCAAAATGTTTGTAACCCCTTAATACTCTGATAAAAAAAATTTAAAAATGCTAAAAGGACAGTTGTATGCAACAGATACAACCATGTATTTCTGATAGTACCATAAACTGAAATATTTCTTTTGAAAAGCAGCATAAATTAAGAGCTGAAAATATTCACATTTACCATGCAGACCTTGAAAAGAATGAAGAAGACAGTCTTAACAAAATACAAATGAGCATACAACACTACTTCTGAAAGGATATGTAAGAATTTTTTGGTGACAGTTATTTTTGAAAATTGAGAATAGGGCGTTCAAGGTTGAAGAGGGTCACTTTTCACTGTATACAATTTTGTACTATTTGAATAAAATGTTTAACCTGTTTAAATATTTAGTAATAGAAATAATACTAATATAATAAATACTATTTAAA